AATTGGCCCCCAAAAATCTACACGGGGGCCAAAAAAAAAAAAAAAAAAAAAAAAAAAACCAAAAAATGATAATGGGTTCTTATGTCATATCTAGAAGCATAAGTAAAACATATATATGAAAATTCAAAAATTGTATGGAAATTATTTTGACTCACAACGCTCGGAGGTCAGTACAGTTAGTGATTTCAACAGGAATGTTTCCATGCAAGCTGTTTTGGTGAAGTGCCCTGTTTCACATCAAAATAAAAAGTAGAAATTTTTTTAAAAAAATATTTATAAATCAAAATAATATGAATTTTCTGCTCAAACAAACAAAAATATTACAAATTCAAAAGGGGCATTGGACTTACAGTCTTTGTAATTTACTGAGTTTACCAATGCTGGGAGATATAGTCCCTCCAAGTTGCATATAAGGAATATTACTGAAAAACCCATTACAAATCTATAAGCTTTGGACTGAATAAATCAATTATTTTTATTTTTTTTTTTAAAAGATGAAATGAAGAATGGTTATAACTTACATTGAACGGACTCGTTGGTCTTCGGGATGGCAAGAAATACCGGTCCATTTGCAAGGAGATTTATCAGTGGCTTGCCAGTTTATGAGGAAGTTTTTACTGTCATTTAAAGTGCTTTTTATCTCCAACAATGTAAGACCTGAAAAATGTTAGAAAAAAGATTCAAACTTTAAAACCCAATATACTTGGTTTAAGCAAATAAGAAAACAAAAGATTTTTTTTTTTTTTTGACTTGGCTTTAAAAGTTCAGTCTTCTTCAAAAACGAACAAAGGTAGAAACTTTCCAGCTCAAGAAGAATTGGAAAAATATACGAAGATCAGAAGAAGAAATTATAGAGGGTTTTGTTTGTTTACCTTCTTCGGTGAGAGCAAGAGGGCATAAGAAGAAATGAGTCGCCGCTGAAATCACTGAGAAAATCCATAGCAAAATGCCCATTTTCATGATCTCTTCCAAAATGGAGTTTTTTTTTTCCTTTTTTTTTTTTTTAACTCAGTCACTCACTACACACTGTGAAGTGCAAACTCAGCTAGAGAGACAAAGAAAACTATGATGAGAGTCGTGAGTATAGTGAGTTGGTTGTTGAGATGCTATGGAGTATTGCCATGACCATGACCAAAAGCTAACAATAATAATAATAATTTTTTGAAGCACGGAGAGAGAGAAACTTGAAAAGAAAATAAAAATAAAAATAAAAATAAATTGTTCTTTTGCCGTATTTTATGAGAAGGGTTAAAGACAACTTTTGAAAGTGTTTTGAAAGTTGTGTAATGTGTAGAGAGAGAGAGAGTAGCCGTTGTCCTATGTCCATACATTGAGATTCAAAAAAATTACTACTTTTTTTTTTAGAACTAAAAAAAAAAACTGAAACTTTAAGCTCCACACTCTCGTCTACAATCTATCATATTACTCGCTTTTGTTGGACTAGGAACTGTAGTTTATAGTTTCACACTGACCAATTGAAAGCGAGATTCATTGCCACGTCATCACTTTGTCAGAATAGATGGATAGAGCTGGACTATCGGACACGTGTCAGATTCCCAAAGAGAGTACGGGGCATTTGAGAAGTAGAGTATCTTTATTTCCTTGCATTGGAAAGAGAAGTATTTGAAACTTTGGCCGGGAAAAAGGTGGAAGCTGCATTATGCTCAGAAATAATGAATTTTAACCTGACACACAACAGCTGTGGTTAATACTAGTGGGCTAGTGGCCATTGCTCATGGGGCTCTTGTTCATTGTAACACGAAAAGAAAACAATAGTAAGAAAATTCAATTTTTAAGATGGATTTAAATTTAATTAAAATTAAACCAGATAAAAAAATACAGTATAAATAATTTTATATATAAATTTAAAAATTAAAAAAGTAAAAAATTATTGATAATTTATTTTTTTTAATCCTATCAAAAAAATTATGTTTTATGTTTGATACGAAAGATTTTTCGATGGTGCATTTATATCTATAAATTTATCATAATTTTTACAACTTTAATATATTCTCGATAATTTATCATAATTTTAGTATAAATTGTACAAGTTATTTGTTCCTTATAAAATTTATAAGTCTATAGTAACTCATATAACTCCAATGTTTAAAGCGTATAAGCTTTAAAATTTATAAATTATCATATTCTCGATATAGTGCTGAGAATTCTTCTATCGACACTATAAAAGTTCTTGTTTCTAAAAATACAAACAACTTTATCAATAGATAGATACTAATATATCTGCATAAATTAGTAAAATATTTTCTTAAGAACGTTCTCCCTTCTAAAGCTAGAGTATTGCTTAATGTATCAAGTTTTTAATACCAGGTGTCCTGTGATAGGTGTTTTAGAAGAATGTTATGTGTACTGTTATTTTTTAAACAAAACTTTTTAATAATAATTCACGTGATAAAATAATATGAGTATATTATTTCAGTACCAATATTTCAATAGTCACTCGTTCACTCGTGTGACAAGTGAGTTAGAGAAATATTACGTGTACTATTGTTTTTTTTTTAACAAATTGTTAATACTAATTTGAGTGATAAAAAATACGAATATATGTGTTAAGAGGATCATTTCAAATAAAATAATTGATGAGCCATTTTTAGATGGGTAAAATAATTTGTATATCTCACTTTATTTCAAGTAATTAAAATAATCACATTTTTATGTGCCATTTTTTAATACACCGATGAGCTATTTTCTTAACATCTCCAAATAAAATAATAAATCACATTTTTATGTGCCATTTTTTAATACACCGATGAGCTATTTTCTTAACATCTCCAAATAAAATAATAATGACTCGCCATTACGTGAATAGTATAAAAGAATTGGTAAACCCTTTTAAAGTTAATGGTAGGGCTCGCAATTCAGGCAGCGGCACGACGACACAATTCGAAATCCACACGAAGTTAGTAAGTTTTGGTTTACTATAAATGTGTTTAGGTCATAATCAGGTTGACATGATTAACACGATTAATAAATGGGTTGAGTTAGGATTGACCTCCTAATACGAAGTGACACGATTAACTATATGTGTAATCTGCAATCTAATGATAAGTGTTATAACATGAAAGTTTATATGACATATTAAATACAAATAATGCGAATATCAATATTTATAGGTAAAATTCATTAATTTTTCTTAAAGAAAAAGATAAATTGACCAATAAATATATTAAATATGTCTTGATTGTGTTAAATAAGTCATTATTATATTAGTTAGTTATTCAATATATTAATTTAAACGGGTTATACGGGTTAATAAGATTAACATGATTAATAAATTGGTCGTGTTTGGGTTGACATTTTTGACACGTTTAATAAATAAGTCGTGTTTGGGTTAATATTTTCTAACACGATTAATAAACGAGTTAACACGAACACGACTCACTAACATAAATTGCCACCCTCAATTAATGGTGATCAATATTTTTGGCTAATGTTAGGTAAACGATTTATATGGATCGCCATTTTACTATTTTTTAGCTGCAAGGATATCCTCGTAGTCCGCTATAAGTTATTCAATGGCTCGTTAAAGCGTATGGGTTTTTATTTTTATTCATTTATTTTTTATTAATTTCTTTTTAATCAAATAACCATATTAGTTAAATGAGTATTAATAAAAAGTAAGAAGTAAAAAACTGCACTCTAAGGATAAGTGCTACAATTTTCTATTTAGTAAACTAGTTTAAATGGTTTAAACCAAAAGGTCTTTTTCAAACCATCGTTTGGTAAACATTTTTAAATCAATGATATTTTGAACTAAAAAATAATCAAAGAAATCTGAGTTTAACCCCCTTGTTTTCAAGTAGTTTGAACCTTTTTTTTTTTTTTTAAAAAAATTCATTTCAAAACAAAAGATTGCTTCAAGTTTCTTGCAGGAGAAATCACTTTCATAATTTGAATTTGACTGGAACTGATTTGATCATGAAGGAAATTATATCCTTAAGGAAGTGTGGGTGGTTAAAGAAAGGGAGTCCAACATTTTCTTCATTCATCTTGTTCTTGGTAGTGATAAAGGACACACTTTTTGATGACTTAGTGCCATGTTTCTTTATTTCAAAATCGTCCAAAAAAAGCAAGAATGATTTCGTTCTCTACAAAACAAAAGAAAAGAAGACAACGCCTGAGAGCCTAGTTTCCTGTTGTTTTGGCAAACGTTAGGGACACTTGGAATAATCTTACCAATCCAAAAAGGACATTAAACGAGGAGTAGTTTAAATATTGAAATCTTGAGTCCTAAGGAAGGTGCAAGTCTCACATGCCTAGAGGAAGAGTCAATGGCTGAATCATTTTGTTTTCTTCCTCTATAATTCTATACTTTCATGGCCCATCTACTTTTGTCTTTGACAAAGATATGTACACCTTACACAAGTCTAGGTGGGCTTCATTAGCATTTTGTTCAACCTTATTTTTTACAAGTCTAATGTTTTTAAGCATTTGTGTTTTATCACGGATAAAATGTGGAGCATATCTTAAGAACATCCTCAATGCAATGTTAAAATGATATATCAATATCAAATTTTAACATTTAAGTCAAAAATCACTCTTCAATGCAATGTTTTTTTATGCTAAATTTAACAAATGCTATATTTGGTTGTAAATTTCCACCAAGTATGTAAATGCTAAATTTGATATTTATTGGTAATTAGGACAACATTGTTCTTTTAAAATTATTTTGATATTAAAAAGTGTACTTTTACAAGTTTCAAAAACTTAATAATTATGATAAAAAGCAAATATAACATTTAAAGTAGCATTATGTATTGAAGTACAAAATAGAATAACGCATCATATATGTTATTTTTACACTTTTCAATGGGAAATATAAGATAACATTGGCATTGATATTTGCATTAGAGATTGTCTAAAAGGGAAAAAAGAAAAGGATCTATTTCCTTTTTACTCTCTTCTATTTTTCTTCTACCTTTTTAGAGGGTGTTCTTGCTTATATTGCCATTTTGTTTTGGTTGCTATCTGCTGAATTCAGTTGTAAGTTGTAACCCACCAAAAATATATGGTGTTTCCTTTCATAATGAAAATGAATTGATTTATTCAAAACATATCAAAACATAATTTTGCGCAGTAGACAAGAGTTCGCACATCATTTTCATGATCCAAGAAAATTACATAACGTGATTTGTACCAGCTGCTTCATTCAGTGATTGCACTTCAACATTTTGCAGGTACTTGTTATAAAGCCACTTCGATATGTTGAGAGCATTCCCGGCACCTTTTATAGGGAATGCATTCCTACTTCTTTGCCAATCATTTGTGAGCTTTATCCACTCTCTCCTCCATCCCTTCAATTGAAAATCATCACCCTCCTCTAAGCTTTTGATTAAGAACTTAAAGTATATTTCCGCTCGAGGGCGGTAATAATCTCGTAGAAGCCCGCTCCAGTATTTGTTTCCTGCAAGAATAGGCCAACATGCTCCAAAAGGACATTAGAATTTCGACGCTAAAAGGCTTTACCAACTTTAGCTCATTATCTCTTCAATAGAAAAAGAAAATCCGTCACTTAGCCAAACCATTTTCGTACCGTAATCGCGAAGTAAGCTTGGTTCGTCATCCGAGTTGTCGAACCACATAGTTACTTGAGTTCTTGCATTCCATTCAAACTGCATTGTGGAATTGCATCAGTCAAAAAAAAAAAAAAAAAAAAAAACATTTTTAAGTCCCATATTACTCAACAGTCAACACTTCTTAGGTGATAGTCCTAGGGGGAAACAAACCTGTTTTTTCTCTTCTTCATTTTGAGCAAGTTTCTTTGCACTTTCCAACCAAGGTCCCAGAAGAAATCCATCATGGCAAGCCAAAAGCGTGTCAATATCCTCCACTAGCTCCAAAAATTTCTGGCTCCGGCGAGTCACTCCTTTAACATCATTTGATTGATAGGCTTCAATGATTTCCAAAAACAGTTGGTTTGCATATTTTGCTAAAACTTGTCTAGTCAGATCCACAAGATCATACCTTTAAACAGTGAAAATAACACAAAAATGAGTAATCAAAACTAAATATTTACTAATCCATTTGGGGTTCTCCATATTTTGAAGTGTGACTATTACCTGTAACTGTTACTTTTAGATAGTTCACCTCCACATACAAGAAAAAGTTCCAATGCACGCATCACTTCAGAAGTTGAATACCATAAGTGAGGTTGCTCAAATGATTCAGTGATTTCCTGTATTACTGATCCTCTGGAAACTTGTTTTTCATGTTGGGAAAATTTTCCTTGCGGAATTGATATAAAGGACGGATCAACATCAGGAAATGCCACAATTACATCCCTGTTTTTGTCCTGTTCTCATAGCACAATGATACAAGTTCAAACAAATATTATGCCAGGAATATCATGTGTGAGAGCAGAACATCTCTAATACAATGTTAAATCAATGTGATTTTCGCATTCAGATAAGAAAGTTATTATCCAATGCAAGGCTATCTTTGGTGTTAAATTTGGCGCGTGCCATACTTGGTGCCACATTTCGCACCAAATTTAGTGTAAGCCAAATTTTAGCATTTGGTTATTACATAGATCTTTTCATTTAATAATTACAACACCGTCATTTTCAAATTACTTAAAATTTAAAGATTTAGTTATAAAAGTTCTACATTTTTATGACAAAAAGTAGTTTAGTATTTAAAACAGCATCATGTATTAGAGCACAAAATACTCATCAAATGTGCCGATTTTTACGCTTTTTTGTACCCAATATAATATTGGTAATTTTGTATTGACATTTGCATGAAGATGGACTAATTCTCTAAACACAAGTTCTTTTTTTTTTTCCTTTTTCGGTAAGGTATAAAACTTGGCTAAAGTGGAGAAATAGTAGAGTGTTGCCACTAAGGACATGCAGTATGATAAAACAGCTAAAAGAACTATGAATAAAAAAAGAGGAAAAAGATAAAAGGAAAACAACCTCATTATCACCCAACAGCAGGAGACAATTAAGGCACTTACATAGGCACCATCTGTGCAGTTGTAGACAGTGTGATATAAAATGTTCCAAGCATCTTGTATCAAAGGAACTGATCGGCCATAACGCCTAACTGAATAGAGATCTATCCAATCCTGAAATAAGATTAGATTAGGTGAATTATACATTTAGAACAAGTTAAATAAACACACATGAATATAGAGAAAATGAAATTCAATTTCTTTAGAAGATGTTCAGAAGGCTTGCAAAGTGCAAATTTTTCACAAACTTGTTTTTTTTTTTTTTTTCTGAAAAAAAGTACTTTTAGACAGTATACTGAAGTAAAAGTATTGGACCGTTATTATAGGAAGCATATAAATAAAGGATGAATAGTGGGACTTTTGACACGTATACAACCGAAAATATTTCTTTTTCTTTTTAATACAAAGTGGCATCGAATCCATGCCATCTCTCTTACTGTACCACTTTGCCCGAACTCTCAAACTCCCGTTGCCACTAAACGAAACGGTTTTAGTCCACACAACCAAGAAACATCCATTATGCCCCTTTTAAGTAGCTCCATTATGAGTGTCTGCTTGCATAATTACTAGCTTGGTTGACATACTAATAGGAGTTGTTTTAGATTTATAATACTACTTAGCAGAAAAACAAAGGTGAACAGAATATGCAATGCTATGAGGAGTGAGGTGAAAAATCGACATTACCTTGACATAAACTTTGTTTCTATGAAAAGCCATCTCAGACATGAGATCATAGACAACAGGATTCTGTTCTATGCCTTCCATGGCCATTCCAACACCAACCTGGAAGTAAGTACACAGAAAAGATAAAATACATTATTCAAATGAATCTCTCTCTTAAAAAAAAAAAACAAAAAACAAACTTGGATAGTCAAATAGTGTAAATATGGTTGCATCTACACAAGTAATATTCATAAAGTTACTGAGAGATTATTGCTTGCTCTTATGAGAGCATGTTGACATAAATGTGATTGCTCTTAGATTATTAATTCATTCTAAAAGCTTAAGGTATTAGGAGATGGGCCAACAGTAGTGTTATTTTCTAATACTTAATTTTTATGTGTGAGATTAGACCAAACAAAATATGCAACATGGACTAATCAAAGAAATTGGAGAATATAAATACATGAGATTGGCCTATCAAAGGAGACAATGGGGTTACGTTACAAATTACGAAATTTCAAAATTAAAGTAATTCGAGGACATGATAATATGTTATGATACCATTGTTAGATTATCAAATTCATCTCAAATGCTTACGCTGTTAGGAGATGGACCAATAATAGTATCATATTCTAACAATTGCAACCCTATGGAAGATGAAAGGGAAGAAAATGGATAATTTAAAGCAAAACGCAAGATTAAAGTAGATGATAAGCTTGCCATTGTTGAGTTTTCATTACTAGTGCGAGCATCAATTGGTCCAGATGCTATTGCATCTAAAACGCCATACATCTCAATGTTTCCAGCAAAGTTGTGCAACATGCACCTGTACATTTAAATCAGAATATTTTAGACCAACATGTGAGAAATAAACAGAATAAGAATAAGATCAAAGTGTACATAAAAAATACGAAAGGAACGATGACCTTCCAGATGTAAGGAACACCATAGAACTGCTCGGAACTAATCCATAAGGGTTTCACTTCAGCAAATAGGTCAAGAACTACCAGCTTTCCCAAGGGAACAGAATGCAAAAGTGCCTGAATAATAAGATTGCATTACTGTACTATACTGAGCTATAATAACAATATCAAACAAGGAATAAAAATCCATGTGTTTACATATTCAAAATCAATAGTGAGTCCGTTCTGATTCTTCTTATTCTCCTCTTTTTTCAAGACATGTACATATATAGCCTTTATTTACGGTCTCACGGTGGGTGGAATGGTCCCTCCAACGTAACATGTATAAATGAAAAACTTAGCATGTCAGTCATTTACCATAACATTGATGTTGGAGAGGTGTAATACCAAGAATTTAATCATTCGAAGACTATGTTACACCTCTCCAAAGTCAATATTACGTTCAATAACTCTCATATTACATTTTCCACTATGTTGCAAGGACCGTAGACCATATATATGTGTTACTGCATGGAAAGTATTGAAATAATACGATAAAATGAAAAATGTAACCTTCATTTGGGGAGGTCTCCAGAACGGATCATACAAAAATAGCCATCCCTACAATATTATTCCAAAATAGATGTTTATTAGAATGGTGATATATATATTTATTGGTCCAAAATTCATGAGTTAAAATAAAAAGTTGGTCCGTTTATTTATCTACCTGCATTAGCCAAACGGCATTACTGTCTCCACTTTGCATTCCTTGAAATATTGCTGCTCCCAGTGAAGAAATGAAGTGTGGATCATCAACAGGTGGAGTATTCTCATCAAAAGTGTCACTGCAACATGTTGAATAAGTCATGAGATGATCTAACATATTATTAACTTCTTTTTGAACATTTTAAACCAAATATTTATACAAAACCCACCTAAATATATGTTCAATTGGAGAAGATTTAATCATAAATAGGAGCTGATAAAGATCAACTAAAACATTTATCATAAAAGCAAAGATCTAAATTGGAGTAAATACAAGTGTGACAGATTGACATCAGTTACTAAATCCATATCCTAAACTAAGATTACTAATTCTAACATTTTTTTTTTGCCAAGTAAATATTGGTATTCAATAGGAAGAGAAATTATAAAGCTTTACCAGTTGTATATGTGGCTGGTCCTTCCATATTCTGCCAAAACATGTAAACCAACAAATTCAGGAATTACAGAAACTCAAAATTTTTGCTAGCACCATGATATATGCAAAAGAACAGAAGACGATACGGAATCTAGATATATAGTCACCTTCAAGCTGTTGTTGAATGAATGCTCTCCCAATTTCTACAAACAATGGATCAGTTGCATCAAGAAGATAAGTACAGCACCATCTAGTATCGCTATCGACCGTAAACCTGTAACAGAATGAGAAATACGTAAACAAAGCGTCTTTGAGATTTAGTGCTCAAAATTGTTTGGAATTAATTCCTAGTATTCTAGAGAAAGAAAGAACGCAAATAAACATAGCGCACACAAAATTTATAATAGTTCACTCTCAACTTTCTGTTGATTTTCACTACAACAGGAAAAAGAAGTAGAAAGTACAAATGCCTCACTCTATCTTTCTATTTTAAGTTTGAATTGTGGTAATTGGCAAAAAGCGTATGACATAATTAGGCTGCACCCAACTTAACAAAATTACACCTATTCAATTCCTAAAAACATACCATCATTTTTTAGTCTTTTCGAAATTGTCCTGTAAAAAAGAAGGCAAAAAACTTTTTTTGAAAGTGATTCAATACACAAATTTTTGTCTCAGATCTCACCCCATAGGAAAATTTCAGGTGTCAAATGTTAATCAGTACATTACCAGTTTGCTAAGCGTGTTATCTTTGCTGATGGGAATCTAGTTTTAAGCGCTGCAGGAACATTTCCAGAGAAGGCCGGAAGTACTGAAGCCGACACAAAAACAAAAAGAACCTTTATTAAATCCAAACTACGAGGAGTTACACGGTTCGAAGATCGGATTGCAAACATTGTTCTCTAGCTTAAGATGTTCAGAGATAGTACCTGGAGTCATTCCAAGTTCATACATCCTTTGAAGTATCTTCTTCTGCAGTAACAGCTGTTGGTCTAGCCAACTTTGTGGCACAGGTCCACCCCATCTAACATAAGTTTTTTTTACATGTCAAAACAAGAAAATTAATACCATTGGAACTCATTCTTTGGAAATGATCATAGTGCATTCTTAGATTTCCACACTTCATTAGTTACAAGATCTGGCAACTCACCCGTGCAAATTTCCCATACGAGACCATGCGAGAAACGCGGGGCCTCCAAAAAAATCATCCAAATCTGAACTGCTTAGATTAAATTTCTATAGATGACAAAGAATAGACCATCAATAAAATTTTAGTATGCAATAAACTAATCATCACAACTAAAGTTAGGCCATCCTTGTTCAATATTTTACTAACAAGGAGAAATGAAAAAGTGGATGAAAAATTGAGAAGAATTGCCTGAAAAACTTTCTGCCAAATAGCCTCTTGCCCTGTGAATGCTAACGGTAGATTGATACCTTGGAGAGCCATCCAATCAATCTCCTTCTCCCATCTTTCCCAATCCCACCAAGCAAAAGTATCTTCCAAAAACATAACAATAGAGAATAGACATCCCAAAAATTTAATAAGAAAATACCAAAATCAAAGCCACAATCAAAACTAAGGGTGTCAATTCGTGTCAGGGGTTATGTTCGTGTCGGGTTGACGCACACTGTAACTAACACGAAACCAACCCACGACACAAAATTTTTGAAAACACCGAACCTAACCCGACCCACCCCTAGATAAGTTGACATGACGCGACCACAAATGACCTATGATAGACTAGAAAGCTTTCTCTTACAGCTAGATGTAACAGCATTCTGGTAGTAGCTCCAAGGAATAGGTCTTTGGACCAAAACACCATCGTCGTTAACACGGGGAAGAAATTCGGATTTTGGCACTGAAAATAGTTGAACCCCGCCAGTCTTTTCCCAGGATATGTGTGAACCACACCAGTTTTTCAAATACCAGTGAAGACCAGCCAAAATCTCCACGCCAGTGACCCCAGTAATCCTATTTGACAATTGAACATCACATAATATTTTGTCAATCAGACAACTAAGATTTTTCATTTAATAAATTAACTAGTATATATCGTTTCAAAGAGTTCAATAACGAGCGTAAAATCAACAACATAATCATATACAGTCAAATACAAATTAGCCAAGTGAAACTAATGATATGATGAATAAATACGAATTTACAACATACAAAATTTCTCGGTCTCCACGTCTAAGAAAGGAAGGATTATTTCTGATGATGAAGCAAGATGAACCACCACATTGCTCCTACCAAAAAGAACAAAAAAAAAACCATGCATGAAAATTATAAGATACTATTACCATCACGCAAAAGCACATTTAAGACATTTCAAATATTTCTGTTTCATTTACTTAATGCTAGTTTGGTATCATCTTTTTCACTTTTTTTTTTCTTTCTACTTCTTCCTTCTACTTTTTGTTTGTACAAAGAATTTTAAATCCAAATGCAAGTACCTTAGAGATGATTTGGAAGTCGAAGCTGGAAGAATGGGAAGGAAGAAGCCGGCGAAGGACGCCGCGAGCAGCGGCAACTTGGAGCGAGGGAGGAGCCCTCTCGCGGTCCTGCTTATCAAGAAGCTTCGAGATGTATCGGATTCCGAGAGTCGACGAGTGAGCCCAGGGGAAGGCGATGAAGAGGAGGAATATTGTCAATGTGAGAAAAATGGCGGGAAAGGAGCTGGACGCCATTGGAGGAGATTCGAAGTAGTGGGAAAGAGAAGTAGTGATTAGTATGGATTATAGAGGAAAGGAAGAGAAAGAGCAGGAAGGAGAATCTTGGAGGAGAAGAAGGTCGTTAACTATGAGACAGAGTTCAAGGCCGGCTACAACAACAGACAAAGAGCGCCAAGACATCCTAACCGTTTTTCATAATATAATAGTAATATATCTACATATATATTGGTATTTTGCACATTTGTCCCTGAATTTTTCAGGCTTTGGAAATTTGTTTTGTAAATTTTTAACTGTGGCAATTTACCCGCAACTTGCTAAATTATTGCAACGTGTCCTCTTTTATTGATGGTTGTGTACTTGTGTTGGACTGATGACGAAAAAATAAGCCTGGCAAAAAAATTCAAAAATTTTAATTCAAATTCTAACTCAAATATCTCAAATCCCTTTCTTAATCATGCAAACTCAATTCAAGGTCCGAGTAAAAATTGGCAAAATGGATTACTTTGCTTTCTTTCTGTTTTCTTTAGGACATGACAATAGAAAAACACAATTTTAAACCCACTTATGCACCGACACTAGATGAAAATTTACTCGCTCGACGTGCGATGATATGTTGTTTGTTAAAAGGGAAGGGAAGGAAATTGGTCAAAGGCTTAGTTTGGTAGTGCTGTAGATTTTAAAAAAATTATTTTTAACTGTGTTGAAGGAAAAAACAACTGTTACAAAAAGAAACTGAGTGTTTGGTAAACTATAATTATGGTAGCTGTGCTGGTTCTAAAATCAATGTAATAGCGTTTAGTAAATTATGATGTTGAATTGTTGTGGATAGTTAAAAATTACGACTCGATTATATTATACTATAATATAATATATATTTATTATTATATTTAATATAATA